TCAAGTAGAAAGAAAATGTTTTGGAAATGAAGATGGCATCATATGTACAAATGTGCTTGACACAATGGATGTATGTATGGATTGTGATAAGAGCTGAAAGAGCCCCCAATAAAATGATTTATTAAAATTTAAAACAAAAAGTTGGCTGTTTAAGCATTTTCCATGATGATTCCATGTGATTACTAGAATATGCTGATGTTAATACATGTCGGGACAATATGATGGTCACTAGAATTCTGCATCCGAAAGGCAGTTTAGGTTGTATTGATGTATGGTCTTTTGTTTCTGTCTTGTGTTTATCTCTGTCCTTGGTTGGCTATACGCCTTTCGTTAGTTACTTAACCCAAGTTTCTTCCTCTTAGATCTGGTCCTACAGATCTCAAACTCCAGTTGCTGCCATCAAGTCAATTCCAATGCATAGAAACATAATAGGGCAGAGTAGAACTGGGCCCCCCACAGCACCCTCGGTGGAGCAAGGGGTTCAGTGTTGGCGTCTAACCTTCAGGTTGGTGCTTCAAACCTGCTAGCTACTTGGTGGAAGAAAGAGTAAAGATTTATAGTCTCACAAACTCTTTAGGAGCAGTTGTTTTCTATCCTCTGAGGCAGTTCTCAACCTGCAGGTCGCGACCCCCTTGGGGGTCAAACAACCCTTTCACAGGGGTCGTCCGATTCATCACAGTAGCAAAATGACAGTGATGAAGTAGCAATGAAAATAATGTGATGATTGGGGGTCACCATCATATGAGGAGCCATATGAAAGGGCCGTGGCAGGAGGAAGGTCGAAAACCACTGCTCTAGGCTCACCGTGAGTTGGACCGACTTCATGGCACTGGGCTGGCAAAGCTTTGCTGTGGGCATGAAGGATGTGGCAGTTCTCCTGTGTTGGAGTCACTGTGAGGGAGCTGAATTCTAGAGTGTTTTTGGTTTCATGTTTGCACTTTAGGTCTTAATCAGAACTTTTTCTGTTCTAGTATAGTACTAGTGTAGTATAGTATAGTATAGTATAGTATAGTATAGTATAGTATAGTATAGTATAGTATAGTATAGTATAGTATAGTAAAAGCTGCCAAACCAGAGACCTGTCCAAGAAGAAAGCTCACATACTTCTCACTAACGGAGAACAACAGAAAGTGACAAGATGGCACCGTTAGAGACCAGATGTGTCCTAGACTTGGGAAGACAACGCAGCCTTGTTGAACTCGATCTTTGCCTCCCAGGTTTCACCGTACTAACCATAGCCCATTAAAGTCTTTTCTGGTGAAGATGTAAAGATTGTTTAGGCTGGAAATCTGATTCTTCTTCGTTAGGATTCCAATGGGATTTTATTTAAGCCTTGAAACTAGTGTTGCTCAGAGAACATTTGTACAACTGGTTTAAAAGGACTAGTTAAGAAATAGTTTTATAGGCATACTCACCTATCATAGATCATGCCCTGTAATCATCTGGCATATTAAGAACGTTATCAATGACCACCACACTTTCAGAACATTTTCTTCTTGTATTCATGCACCTGGGTAATTATTAATCCAGTTACTGTTTCTATGGATTTTACCTATCCTCAATTTCACATACAATAATACAAAATATAAGCAGGAAACAAATAACTAACAATGACAAAAGAGAAAAACTTCAATAGAATAAACAGAAAGTATTAAAAATGGAAACAACTTTAAATGGGTCAAAAAGGAGATGAAATGATAAGGTGTTAACATTTAAAAAAATCATTTTATTGGGGCTCATACAACTCTAATCACAATATATACATAAATACATTGTGTCAGTATTTACATCTTAAAGGACATTTTACATGGGTAGAGGCTGCAGTCTCTTTTTTTTTTAAAGAAAATCATTTTATTGGGGGCTCGTACAATTCTTATCATAATCCAGACATCCATCCATTGTGCCAAGCACATATGTACATTTGTTGCCATCCTCATTCTCAAAACATTTGCCTTCTACTTGAGCCTTTAATATTGGCTGCTCATTTCCCCCCTCTCTCCCTCCTCCCCCTCCCTCATGAACCCTAATAATTCATAAATTATTATTATTTTGTCATATATTACACTGTCCGATGTCTCCCCCCACCCTCTTCTCTGCTGTCCACCCCCCAGGGAGGAAGCTATAGGTAGATTCTTGTAATCGGTTCCCCCTTTCCAGCTCACATTCCCTCCACCCTCCAGGCATCGCCACTCTCACCACTGTCCTGAAGGAGTCATTTGTCCTGGATTCCCTGTGTTTCCCATTGCGATCTGTATCAATGTACATCCTCTGGACTAGCCAGATCTGTAAGGTAGAATTGGGATCATGATAGTGGGGGGGAATAAGCATTTAAGAATTGGAGGAAAGTTATGTTTCATCGTTGCTACCCTGCACCCTAACTGGCTCACTGACTGGCTCATCTCCTCCCCACAACCCTTCAGTAGGGGTGTGTCCAGTTGACTACTGATGGGCTTTGAGTCTCCACTCTGCACTCACCCACATTTACAATGATTTGATTTTTATGTTCTTTGGTGCTTGATACCTGATCCCTTCTACACCTTATGATCAGACAGGCTAGTGTGCTTCTTCCATGTGGGCTTTGATGCTTCTCAGCTAGATGGCCGCTTGTTTATCTTCAAGCCTTTAAGACCCCAGATGCTATATCTTTTGATAGCCGGGTACCATTAGCTTTCGTCACCACATTTGCTTATGCACACAGGAAGGTGGGCACCTACTGATAGGATTTTTAGTTCTTTGATGTCTGATAAGTGGTCACTTCTACACCTTGTGGCCAGACAGGTTGGTGTGCTTGATACTTCTCAGCTAGATGGCCGCTTGTTTATCTTCGAGCCTTTAAGACCTCAGACGCTATATCTTATGATAGCCGGGCACCATCAGCTTTCTTCACCACCTTTGCTTATGCCCACATTTTTCTCCAACAATCGTGTAGGGAAGGTGTGCATCCTGGAATGCCAATTTAATAAAATGATGTGTTCTTACATCCAGTTATTGCTTGAGTGGAGGCCCAATGTTCATCTGCTGCCTTAATACTAAACCTCTCTTTTACTCACCCCCCCCCTTTTTTTATACTTTTAACCCAACTGCATCTGCCATATTCAACTTCACAATGCTCTCTGTCTGATAGCTTCACATCCCTGGACTATTATCAGAGGGGATTCACTCAAAGTTTAAAACATGTGGGGACCCTGCAAATGGATTTTTGCCTCCCACTGTAATCCATAGCCTTCTGCAAACTGCATGTTCGAAATGTAAGCTCTGATACCATTCCACCCTTCCAGATGGGGATCACACAGGTGGGTGTGCTTCTTCCATGTGGATGCCTCACTTAGATGGCTACTTGTTTGAAGACAGGCCTCTAAGATCCCTGGTTTCTTCACCACACGTTGCTATAGAAACCCTATTCTTCACAAGGGCAAGTATCAACTAGGGACAAGTCATAAAAACTGATTGTTCTGAGATTAAGGTTAGAATTAAGTGAAGCCCCAAATCCATTCATATATCTATGATTTATACATGTCTCTGGTTCACTTTAGAGATATCATTTTATGATAGAGAATATTATAAATCATTCCCATGGGGCTCAAGGTAATTCTTTTGATAGTGTCATTAATTTAGCCAACGGCAAAGGGTTTAAACCACTGTTGAGAAAAGGAAATTCTACATATGCATGCTGCTTTTTCAGACCAAAATACACCAGTTGTCGACTAGTTCAGATTAAACTCTTAGTGACTGGTCACTATTTAAGAACAGTGGTAGTTGGTGATAGGGCAAACATTTCAAAAACACTCATTTACAGAGGCAGAACCCTGCCTCCACATGTCACAAGAAAGCCAAGAGGACATAAAAATAGTAAAAATAGTAACTATACTGCAGTCCTGGGCCACCATTCAGTGGGCATTCTCATAGCAAGCGATCCAAACTGAAGTTTAAGGGCAGCCAGTTCGATAACCTTGGTGAAGCATATATTCTCACATTTCAGCCTTACGTCCACTGGAGTATGTCAGTTCCTTAAATCTCCTACACGGGATTTGACGTAAAGTCCCGTTCACTTAGTGTGATTTCCAAATCGAACCCTTCAGGCGTGGCCTATGCAGGATGATCTGCACCTCAAGAGGACAGAATCCAAAGTCCCAGTAGTTTATATAGCACATGGCCTGGGCCCCCAGAAAGTAGATCAAGAGCATCCATCTCAGCACATGGTATACCTGGTGATTCTCCCCCTGGGCTATAGATAAGTATTGTTAAGCATTTTTTCCTGATGGGAGGTTGATAAAAGGGCTAATTTTGTTACGTTCACTACTAATTTATTTTCTTGAGATAAGGCCTTGTTGACAATATATGTCAATATATCTGTAATATCAGTACTTTTTTTTACTGTGAATAAATAGATGTATTTTCACACCGTTTAACAAAACTGTAACTTAGTCATACTTTAATAGGCACAAAGATTCATGAGAATTCATATGAACAAGTGTACTGAAAGTATTCCTCCCTTAGCTATAGTTTTCATTTTATCTCCAAACTTAAGATTTAATAGACCATAAGGTAAAATACTTTTAGCATACTTGTTCATATGAATTCTTAGACATAGTTTTCATCTTTCTTTATCCCCAAAGTGAAGATTTTATAGGCCATAAGGTAAAATTTCAATACACAAGTAATTATAGTGTCTTGAATTTGTATTTCAGACCACATACTTTAAACAATGAAAACAAGTCTTAGAAAATATCTTTTAGACCATGCTGGCATCTAGATCTTCAAAATAAATTCTTTGTCTTGATAGCTATCAGCCTTGGCATTGCCATGAGGAATTTGTCACCTATATGGTCTTCTCTTTCCAGCTTGCCAGTGCAATGGCCACAGCACGTGCATCAACGATGATGTGTGCGAGCAGTGCAAAAACCTCACCACTGGAAAGCAATGTCAAGACTGCATGCCCGGTTACTATGGAGACCCGACCAATGGCGGCCAGTGCACGGGTAACCTCAGTTCTCTTCCCTTGTGTGTTTTCTCTGCAGAAAAGACCCCATAGCTTCCTTAAGCTGACAAAATATTGTTTTACTGTTCATGGCTTCTTGATTGTGATGTGATAGATGGCATTTGTCTTGACTTTTTTAGAACTACATTAAAATGAAATAAGCAAAAAGCCCCATCAGTGCATTGTTCTTGGTGTAGTGATGGCTAAAATCAGTTTGTCAAGCCAGGACAGTATACATGTATTAAATTTTGTTTTTCATTTTCAGTTGACTTTATTGAGAAAAGCCCATTATTACCAATCTGAGCCCACAATGATGCTAAGTGAAAGTAGCAAAATAGAATTATTTATTTTTTTCCCGGTTCACTGATTTTTGGAAGTTAGTTGCTCAGTACTTTCCCCCATCTCTTTTAGTCTGAAACCTGCTCAGCAGCATGGCAACACGATGCCTTTCCTGACAGGGTTACAGCGAGGTCCATAAGGTGCCCTATATCTGAAAGCCTATGCATTTCTGACACATTTTACCAATAGATAGTATAGTCGGTCTATGGTTAATTTATGGTTAATTTTAATGACTAAATATGGCCTTAATAATTTAAGTATGTTATATATATATAAAACAGAATTAACTTGCTCATATTATCTGCAACTTAACTTTGTATTATAGGAAAAGAAAATAAATGAAAGTTTGGTTGACTATAAGAATTTCCCATACATTACAAATATTGTACTTTGTAATGAAGGAATGCCCAAGAATTCAGCAAATGTTCTGATTGTCCTGACTAACCTTGAGAGGAGGCAGCTGCAAATACCCAATAATAACTGCAGCAGAGACTGTAAGACACATGTGAATCTAGGAAAATTGGATGTCATTGAAAATAAAATGTAACGCATAAAGATTGATAGTTTAGTCATTAGTGAGCTGAAAGGGAGTGGTTTGGGGCATTTTGAATTGGACATTCGTATAATCTACTGTGCCAGCAATGATAACTGGAAGGGAAATGATTTCACATTTATTGTCAAAAGGAACATTTCAGGATCTAAACTGCAGTTCAGAGTTGCCCGTGGTAGAGTAATCTCTGTGCCTAGAAGAAAGACCAGTTAATGACAGGTGTTCAAATTTACTCACCAACCAATGCACCGATGCCAAAGGTGAAGAGTTTGAACATTTTACTAACTTCCACAGTTTGAAATTGATCAAATATGTAGTCCAGATGAATGAATAACTACTGGTTATTTGAATGGAAGAGCTGGAAACAAGGAAGGGTCAGGTGTTGGAAAACGGGGGCTCAGTGATGCCAACTTGGTAGGTTGGCATATAGCCAACCATCTCACTTGGTTATGGCTTCTGTGGAGAAGTGGAATGTCATCAGTCAGAAGAAGGCCGTATGCAAATTCATGTTGAAGCTCATGAAAATGAAAACCAGTCCTTAAGAACCAAAGTATGACCGTGGATATATCCCACCTGATTTTAGAGACTGTCTCAGGGATATATTTGTGCATTGAACAGTAGTAACTGAAGACCAGGCGAATTATGTGATGAGAGTAAGGACAGTATATCTAAAGAAAGCAAAAGATCATTAAAAAGACAAGAAATCAAGAAAAGGCCAAAATGGGTGTCAGAGGGGACCGAAATTTGCGACTGAACATAGAGCAGTTAAAGTGATCGGAAGAAATGATGTGGAAAAAGAGTTGAGCAGAACATATCAAAAGACAGTCCAAGAAAACGGAATAATGTATTATAATGAAATGTGTGAACACCTGGAGTGAGAAAAGCAAAAGGAAAGTATATTGTAAATAAAAAATAGAGAGAAATGAGTTGGTGACTTGGCATTTGGCCTCCTGTGGGTTCCTAAGAGAGAATGAAAATCAAGCTCCCCATTGGCATTGCCCAAGGATGATTTCCGTGAGAGGTCAGACATGTCCTACTTTACGAATTCTGACACCAACTGCCCTTCCCGTAGCACTCTACTTGCTACCTCATTGCAATGGCCACATAGAGCTCACAGACAGCACACAAGATTATGGGGTTGATTAGGAATTTGAAAGGTTACGAATGGTCAGGATACAATTATTATGACAGATTAGCCTCTTAGTTAGGCCCAGACTCTTCTTGTCTTTCACCTCTTAACCACATGACCAATTAACCTCTGCCCTGCTTGGGCAATGTTGGAAAACCTCCATGAGCACTGCCAAGAGTGTACCACTCTGCTTGAATCTCATCCTGAAGGTGACCAGCTCTAGCTGCATGTGTCGGCAGACCTAGCTCCCCCAATTAAGTGCCAGGAGGCATCCCACTCCACAAACCAAACTCCTGCCCATAAACAATCCTTTTTATGCTCTGGGTGCTGGGAAATCCACTGCTGTCTTGTGCTCTGGCTCGTAGTTCCACTGCTGCTGTGGCTCTGCTAGTCCTCTGGGGCCAAAGCTGCTTCCTGGATCAGGAAGACTTGGTGCTCAGGGATCTCTGAGTCTAACGGACAAGCTCCACTGCTGGCTCTTCTCTCTTACTACCAGTGAGACCTCCCTTCCTGTATCCAAGACGGCTTATTTTATTCCCATCAAGATGGCAATCACAATGAACTCTGTTAATAACCACCCACAGCACAATCATTTAATCCAGTTAGTAGCTTCTTCCACCTGGAAGACAAAGGCTCTTTCGTGGGAGTAATAAAGTCTTTGGCTTCAAGATCCATCTTAAATTATTCACTGTATTGCAAGCCACACCCTGGCTCTTCCGGCCACTGTCCTTTCCATCCATAAAGGATTAACTTCTGCTCTTTAAAAATATCTTTTTACCGTGAACACACCCATGTAAAGCTTGTCTCAGTATTCCGAGGAGACTGTTTCTTGAGATGATACTGGCCATCTGATCTAGTCAGGTCCTTCACGAGTTATTGCAGCTTCACTCTCTCTTTCCCTTGATAAAATGCAGCTGAGATGTTTCATCCCTTGATGCTGAGTATCTCTCAAGGAATAGGCATCATGTTAAATCTTCCTAACGCATAACCCATTTATTCATCTCTTTGCCTCCAGCTGTTTCTCCTTGTTCCAGTCATCATTTATTTGTACCCCAAATTTTCCACTTTTGGATGCGACCTCAGATTTAGCTGCTATACCAGTTCATGTTGGCTGGAGTTACATCTGCACAAGACTTGTAGGCTACCGTGAATATATGTAGATATTCACATGCTTCAATTTTGCCAGAGGAGGAGATGGTACAATCTCTTCCATTAGCCCCTTGGGAATTCTGCCATACATGTTCAAGGGTATAATACAGTCTCTTGCTGGGGGATCACCCCTGCTTTATATGAAATAATTCACTGCATTGCAAATATATGTGGCATATCTCAAGCTGAAAGAAGAAAAAATTGAAGACTCAAGTTATAATATTGAAGAATTATCTGGGCACCTAGTGAGTGATGCAGGGAGCATCAAAAGAATACACAGAACCACTGCGTAAAAAATAATTGGTTGATTTAGCCATTTCAAGAGGTAGCACGTGATCAAAACTGATGATATCGAAGGTAGACGTCCAGGCCGCACTGAAGGCATTTCGTTAAAAAAAACAAAGGCTCCAGGAGTAAATGGAAATCGAATGTGCACGTTTCAACCAATGCATGCCCAGCCGCACATGTGCACTCCTCTCTGTCAAGCAATTTGGAAGACGTACTGGCAGAGATATGTAGTGCAGCACATCCAAAGACAAGGAAACAACAGACTGCAGACCTTCTGTAAGGACATCATGAAGTACCATTTTTTGAAGACAGTCGCAGCAGATCCTTGACAAGAGACTGCTACTGATTTAAGCTGGACTCAGAAGAGGAACCAGGGATCATTGTTGGTGCTAAGTGGGTCTTGACTGAAAGGTGGAAATACCAGAAAGGTTTTTACAAGCCCTTTATTGACTATGAAACGGCGTTTGAACAGGAGGACCCTAACACATTATGGATAGCATTTGAATCATGGGACTTCAGAAACAGACACGTCCACACAGAACCTGCGCAGGAGACCCGGGGCTGCTCTTTCGGTCAGAAAAGCTGCGTCCTGGGACGGTTTCCTGTTCCATACTTACCCCGTGTGTCTGCTGAGTGGATGTCTGAAGAGCCGGGCCATCTGCAGGAGAACTGGGCATCAGCATGGTGCGAAGGCTCCTCGGCAGCCTGTGTTAATGTCGCCGCTGCCACCTTGTTTGCCGAAAGCAAAGAGGGCAGGAAACAATGAAAGATGAAGATCAAAAGGCACATCCACTGATATTGATTACAGCTTAAAGTAAAGCAAGCAAAAATCCTCACAGCGAGGCTAATAAGCTACCTCCCTATCAATAAAGAGAAGCTTATAGTTGTTGTTGATTTCATTTTACTAGGGCCCCAATCACTGGCTATGGAAACAGCAGTCAAGAAATCACATGACATACAGGATTGGGAAAATCTGCCTCAAAACCCCCTTTTTAAAGCAGCGGCTTACCTGGTGAGCTGCTAACCACACACACGGTCAGCGGTTTGAAACTACTCGCAGCTCTGCCGGAGAAAGCTGAGCCCTTCTACGACCATAAGGAGTGGCAGTCTCGGGAACCTCCAGGGACAGCTGTGCTCTGCCATGTACGATTGCTATGAGTCACAGTCGACTGATGGCGGTGAGCAAAGTGTTAAAAAACGGAAGATGCCACTTTGAGGCCTAAGGTGCACCTGCCCCGAGCCGCGATGTTTCTGACCCCCTCACCTGCATGTGGGAGCTGGACACTGAATCAGGAGGACTGGAGAAGGATTCATGCATTGGAGTTGCTGATGTTGGTCAGAAACGTCAAATGTACCATCGGCTGTCTGAAGAGTGAACAAATATATCTTGGGAGAAGTCCAGCCAATATGTTCCTTAGAAGCTGGGACGATGAGACTTTGTCTTATGTACTTTGGCCATGTTTGTGGGGTGACTGAACCCTTGAGAATGACATCATACTTAGTAGAGAGTCCGTCAAAAAGAGGAAACCTTTTAACAAGATGGATG